GTTCCCTCTATTCAAGTATTTTTGCAATTTTGCCATTGCATAAGTTTTTTGTTCCCAAGACCAAATGAATTCTTAATATAATTCTCTACTAGCCACATCCAATTGACACTACCTGAGTGCGGCTTCGTACTGCTATTAAAATACTCACTAGTTACAATAATTTGGTCATTTTATTTTGATTTTGCTACGCTTTACAATATTCTGTTATTTTCAGGGTACCGCTAGCGCGGCTAGTTACCTTTCCGAGATGCAATGTATATGGTTTCTGACGGAAAACGCAAAAGCTCTAAGATCAAAGGGTAAATATGGAGAGGCTCTAAAGCTTTGTCATGAGGCGGATCGGGTAATATTTCGAACATACTGCAACTTTCGCTTACTTTGAAAACGTTAATTTAATTTTTCTTTTTAGCATTATACGACCATAATTGAGGACCAGTTGGACTTCCATTCATATTGCCTTAGGAAAGTTACCTTAAGAGCTTACGTGGAGACCTTACGACTGGAGGATCGCTTGCGTGACCATCCATCTTATTTCGAAATAGCTAAACTTGCTATTGAGGTAAATGCTTCTACGTTGAGCCCGGCAAAATTTTATTCCTAGCTTCTTATGCTCATTTCTTTCTAGATGTATTTGCATCTGTGGAGTTTTCCCCTGGGCGAAAGCTGCTCTACTAATGAGGGCACTGAGAGTGAGTTCCGGATTGTTTATTATTTTAGACTCAGATCATACAATTTATTTTTTACATTTTTCTCCCAGACCTCGATTCACGGCAAATTATTTTTGCATTCTCTTATTCCAGAGTTTTTGTTAAGAATTATTCCTTGATCCATCGTATCTGCCTGAGCGTACATATACACAGATAGAGATAAAAACAAACAAATAAATCATTCTACATCGAAATATTTTTATGTGCTGATATATACACACGTATATATATATATATATAACAGGCTGAGATGAACGAATAAATCTCCCTAACTCTTGAGCCTGAGGTTATTATAAGAGTGAGTTCCCGTCTTGTTTCTGTTTGCTATAGTACAAACTAAACTTTAACGTGTTCTCATCGGGACAAATAGATTATATCAACATGTACATTCTATTTGTATCATTTGCAGCAGACCAGAAGGTCCTCCTAATATCTTCACGTACTTTCTAACGAAATGGAATCAATTCAATAATATCGCACGTGATTCACCTTAAACCATTTATCGACCACTTTCTGCTACTTTAATTTTTCCTTGTAAATTCACCTTGAATTAAGCCATTAAAAAAATCTTTTTAGAAGAGATTTCCACACCTGAGATGAAAAAACTTCGAAATAAACAACGCAAAGCGGCTCTTCGTGCTGAGGCGGAAGCAACCCGAGCCAAGGCTGATGCAAGTCGTCGTGAGGCTGCTCAACGTTCTCGACAGCCGATTGATAAAGATGCTGATTCATCTTCTACCTCTACTCCTGGGTCCGGAAACTCCGTGTCCGGGGGTTTCACCGGATCAGGTGCGGCTAGCAACACTGCCACGGCTTCGTCTGGGGCTGAAGGCGATAGACAGCAACAACAGGAGATTGATGTTTTGAACCCAGAGAAACTAGCCCGAGTAAATTGTATCCTTTCTCGGTTATCCCTTTTTTTACCAATGCTACTTTAATTTAATAGTTAAGCTTGGTTTCTATCAGCATGGGCTATTTTGTTTCGTCACATAGAAATTAATCTGGACAATATCTTATTTGCTATTCATTTGGTATTTGAATGAATTCAAGTAGTACAGGTGGTATCTGCTTTCGCCGCTACTTTTTCGGCTCAGTTTCTTGGTTCGTTGACTTGGGGCTTTTCGTTTTGAAGTAGTGTATACGTATCACTATTTAAAAAAAATTTTGTCTATTTGCCAAATATGCATACGCAAGGTTGGCACATATCTTGTTTATCATAGACTACTAGCTTAAAAGCCCTTATTTTAGTCACTTATGCTCGATATCTTCAAAAACATTTTGCTCCTTACTTAATTGCTAATTTAGTATTTACTTTGTCTTTTAAAGCCGGAGAACCCTCTTGATGAAGCGCATCGCTTTCTTCAACCTCTGCTAGATCTCTCCCCTAATCGCCTAGAAACGCATTGCCTGGCATACGAAATCTATAACAGAAAGCGTAAGTCAACATTTTCATTGATATCCCGAGCACAAAATACCGCACTCAAGATTATGGTCTTCATTATACATGCCTTTTCAACTCTTTAATTACGCCGCACTCAAAGTATATTTCGTTCTATAGATTTTTCATGCTTTTGTCAGATTCAAGTAAACCTTCACTCTTAGTTCATATTCCAACTCATTTAGGATTCTTAGTATCATTTAAAATCGAATAGGAAATCAACCTATTTTGATTCTTTGATTTAGCCACTTCTTTTATTTACTCTGACCGAAATTCTTAGCCTCATCTTTATTTCAATTGAATATTTTTTTATAGTTTGTAAGCATAGTTTCGAGACTACCAGTAAATCAGGAATATGAGATGTATTCAACCTGTTTCGTTTAAGATGATGAAGGACTGGTAGTAGAATTTTCCCACAATTATACGAGTAGAGCTGACTTTTCCATTTAATTTCACAGCATTATTTTCCTAAAAGTTGTTTAATCCAGGGTGGACTGCAGTTTCGACTTCGCATCGGTCTTATCAACACCCCCAGCGAGAATCGAACCGTGACAGTGCTGAGGGTGTTGATAAGACCTATGCTAGGTCGAAACTGCGGTCCACCCTGGATGAGAACAACTTTTAGGAAAGCAGTGCTATGTGAAATTCAATGGAAACGTCAGCTCTACTCGTATCATTGTGGGTAAATTTTGCTACCAGTCCTTCATCACCTTAAACAAAATAGGGTAAATACATCTCATATTACTAAATGTATATAGTAATACAATTTTGATAGTCAAAACGGTATCAAAACTCTTGTGGGCCTTGAGCATTGATGAATAAGAAAGTCTTCTTTACAAATCAAACATATCGCGCCTG